CCCGTCCAGCCGTGAACTTGGGAGTGTGGGGCCGTATCAAGGGCCCCAGCTCCTGGGTTCGGTTGGTCACCAGCGCGATAGGGGGCGCCGAGGAAGAGCTCAGTTGTTTTGGCGTTGGAAATCATTTGGCGGTACATCATCTGTGTTTTGAGTTTTGTTGTGCAAAAAAAAAAAAAAAAACAAGTATTTATTAAAAGAGCGTTATAAAACAGAATATTTTAGAGTAAACAAGGGCTTGGAGTATTCCTTCGCACTCGGCTGGTATTATGCGACGTGATAGATATCCAAAACGCCAGCTATGATATGAATATGTTGATGAGCTAAACTATAGTGGGATGGATGTGTGCTAGTAAGCAAAACACATCCTATAGCGTGGAGTGACACAAATAGACTTGTCAGCACACATTCAGCCACTACATCCAAGATTATCAACATATTCAGAATATATTTAGACTACAGCTGACGGTTTAGCTAGTTTTTAAACTTATGCGGAAATCTATTGATAAATGTTCTTGGAAAATATCTAATTCACCCCCTCTAATATAATCCCATAAGAATTCAATGGAGAAAGAAAAACACATTGGCAAGGGACAGAGATTCATGTGGTAACACATATGACAAACTATGCCTTTCCCTTTTACATGAAGTGCATCTGCAAGTACATCCGCAAATAATGTAGTTCCTTTATTTCATTGAGGGAGCTACTTTGATATATATGGAAATTTTTGATGATATATATTTTTGAAGATTAGTGTTTGTTTGCAATTAGTTCTAGCTTCCTACTGTTAAATTCAAACTTCTTGTAGTATGTTTGAACCTCGTCATCAACTTTTAGTTACCTTGAGATTTTGGTCGATGAGCACTTCATCACTGACGTTCTTATCCATGCCATCATAGTTTAGATCGATCACCGTAGGTGGCAGATGCTTCTCATTCCTAAACTCATCATACAACGACAGCGACGAATCAAGATACAACGCAGGCATCCTCATCCCTCCTCTAGGATTATCCCAGTTCCAAAACGGAAGCGCAAAAGACTCATCCCCAATGAGCTTCCTAAGTATCCTCTCATGAAAATACAGGTACCACCGGTGAAATGGCGCGAAAAGCCAGCACCTGTGCACTTGTATTTCCAGATTGGGAAACCCTACCTGCTGATACGCTCCGTCGCAGTACGCGCAGTGCACGTTCGCCTGCTGATAGAAACTCCGCGGATCATCAGCTGGAAGCGCTTTCATTAGCTCGACAGCTCTGGCATATTTGGCGGTATACGACTTATCCACCAGGTGCGCCGCCCGACGGATTCGGATGGTGGAAGGCGGCGGCGGTAGACGAAATCGGTGATAAGTTGGTCTGGCGGGCAACATTTATGGGGGAGGTGCCGGTGGGAGGACGGAAGGTTGCAGTCAGAGATGTTTGGGGTGGTTATTGGACTGCCGAGGGGGTGGCGGTGGAGAGGGTAGAGGCCCGTGACTGCGGCAGCGGAGGTGATTAGCATGTCGCGGCGGTGGGTTTGGTTGTTTTCGGGGCGATCGTCTTGGTCGGGACTTGCCTTGCATAAGAGGTTAGGGTGGGCGTATGAGGCTCTCTTTGTGCGTGCTGGGTGGGGGAGGGTGTGTGCAGGGAAGGATGGGGAGAGGGTACACATGTTTCGGGCTTTGTTTGGGGTGAAGAGATTTGTGAGGGGTGTGCGTGCATGCATATATATAGTGT